AATGAAGCTGACGGCAGGCTTGTTGGCCTTGTTCTCGCTCTTGAGGAAAGCAGCGGCGTCTTCCTCGGCGCTACCGCCGATTTCACCGATCATGATGATTCCGTCGGTCTCCTCGTCCTCAAGGAAGACACGGAGGCAGTCAATGAAGTTGGTTCCGGAGAAGGGGTCACCGCCGATACCGACAACAAGAGATTGGCCAAGGCCGGCTTGGGTGGTCTGGTTGACGGCTTCATAGGTGAGGGTACCGGATCGGGAAACAATACCGATGCGGCCTCTCTTGTGGATGAAGCCCGGCATGATACCGATTTTGCATTGTCCCTGTAGTCTGATCGTTAGTGTATGATGTGCAACTCGGGATGTGACAAGGTATGCGTACGGGGGCGATTATTCCAGGGCAGTTAGGTCCAACGAGACGGGTCTTGTTCTGGGATTTTAGCATATCGGTGATGCGGACCATATCTAGAGCGGATTAGCAAAGAGGATGCGGATAATCTTGTATTCATATAGCTCATACCATGCTGAGGAATTCCTTCAGTGATACTATGGAATGTATTAGTTTCTTTGAGGTTAATTCTTGATGACAGCTATATTGAGGCAACATACCAAACGACGAGAGGTACCTCAGCGGCAATAGACTCCTCAATACTCTTAGCAGCCACAGATGGTCTTTAACGATGCGTTAGCACCAAAACTCCAAGCTATACATGCAGAAGCAGACATGTACATACGGAACGAAGATGGCGGAAGCAGTAGCACCGGTCTCCTTGACGGCCTCTTCGACGCTCGCAAAGACGGGCTTGCCGAGGTGAGTCTCTCCGGCCTTCTTGGGGTTTGTTCCACCGACAACATTGGTTCCTATGCAGGCATTAATACTGTGTCTTGTTCGCCTGTTGATAAGAGAGCAGTACCGTAGTCGATTGCTTGTTGGGCATGGAAGCTAAAGGTCATCGGAAAAAGCGACGGTCAGCCAGCCTTATACAACCCAGAGCGAGGAGAAAGGGACTCAATTGCAACGTACGTTCCCTGCTTTCCGGTGAAGCCCTGGAAAATGACCTTGGTGTCTGCGTTGATGCGGAGGTTCTTTACTGTCGAGGAATAGCCTGTGAGGCCTGCGAATCCGCGTCGCTGGACACGGGAAGCATTCTGCAACGCAGAGAGCGTAGAGCGTCTGAAGGACTGCATATCTGAGGAATTGCGACAAGCAGCAGCCTGTGTGAAAGAAGAGAGGAAGAAGAAAGGCTGGAAAGCGAGGGCGCGCGGAAGCTGGAAGGGCTGAAGTCGAGATGCAGTGCAGAGAAAGACGAAGGAGAGAGTCGGAAGTCGTCGATGTTTTTTTACAGTTTCAGTTTTCGCAGCGTGGCTCGTCCGGACCAAAAATCTTGACCCATGCAAGGGAAGAGACTCAACAACCACCACCAACCACTCCTACGACTACAACTACGAGTCTTTTTACGATACCCACGAAAGCGACCACGAAACAGCAGTGGATAGAAGTGTAGAGGTGGCTGGCGTGTCTTTTCTTCGCTTTTGGAGTTCTCTTTTTACCCGGCTTGTCTTGCCATTTCCTGCTTTGACTACACCATGGCGACGAAGACGATGACCATGCCGAAGCACAAGCTTCCAAAGAATATCAAGCTCCCGCCGGAGAACGAGCGATACATGAGAGCCTGCTCCGATATAGCAAATGCGCTGATCCAGGACTACGAAGCGCAGCGAGATAATAGCAAGTCGAAGAAGGATATCAATTTGAACAAGCTGCGGGGCACTATCGCAAAAAAGCATTATCTGAGCAATCTGCCGCCTTTAACAGCTATTATTGCTGCTGTTCCGGAACATTATAAGAAGTATATACTTCCAAAACTGATTGCCAAACCGATAAGTGAGTGGCGAACGTCTTTTATCTCTCTTATGTCGAGATTATTAGCTAACGCAACATTTTTCGCTATGAAGGAACCTCCTCTGGAATCGCTGTAGTTGCGGTTATGTGCAAGCCTCATCGATGTCCACACATTGCATATACTGGAAATATTTGTGTCTATTGTCCGGGTGGCCCAGATTCGGATTTTGAATATTCTACCCAATCTTATACTGGCTACGAGCCAACGTCCATGAGAGCTATCCGGGCCCGTTATGATCCTTTCGAGCAGGCGCGAGGTCGAGTCGACCAGATAAAATCACTGGGGCACAGTGTGGATAAAGTGGAATACATCATTATGGGTGGCACGTTCATGTCACTCCCTGAGGAGTACAGAGAGACATTTATATCACAGCTCCATAACGCACTTAGCGGTTACCAGACGGATAATGTGGACGAGGCTGTGCAGGCAGGAGAAATGAGCAATATCAAGTGTGTTGGAATCACGATCGAGACACGACCGGACTACTGTCTTGACACCCATCTTAGCAGCATGCTCCGGTATGGCTGCACCCGTTTGGAAATTGGAGTACAGAGTCTCTACGAAGACGTGGCGCGAGACACAAATAGAGGGCACACTGTAGCTGCTGTGGCGGAAACGTTTAAACTATCAAAGGATGCTGGATTCAAAGTGGTCAGCCATATGATGCCTGATCTCCCAAATGTCGGGATGGAGAGAGACTTGTTCCAGTTCCAGGAGTACTTCGAGAACCCTGATTTCCGGACTGACGGTCTTAAAATATACCCAACCCTTGTTATCCGAGGAACCGGCCTTTATGAACTTTGGAGGACCGGTCGGTACAAGAACTATACCCCCAATGCTTTAATCGATATTGTGGCCAGAATTCTCGCCCTCGTTCCTCCATGGACCCGTATCTACCGTGTACAAAGAGATATCCCAATGCCACTCGTCACATCTGGCGTAGAGAACGGCAATCTACGTGAACTCGCGCTCAGCCGAATGAAAGATTTTGGCACCACCTGCCGTGACGTGCGTACCCGGGAAGTCGGCATCAATGAAGTAAAGAATAAAATCCGACCAAATCAGATTGAACTCGTTCGACGTGATTATACAGCAAACGGAGGATGGGAGACATTCCTTGCCTACGAGGACCCAAAACAAGATATCCTTATCGGCCTTCTTCGGCTACGAAGGTGTAGTTCCAAGTACACCTTCCGACCTGAGCTTACAGGCCAACCAACCAGTTTGGTACGAGAGTTACACGTTTATGGTTCCGCAGTCCCAGTCCATGGCCGTGACCCCCGCAAGTTCCAGCATCGCGGATTTGGAACCTTGTTAATGGAAGAAGCTGAGCGTATTGCTCGAGAGGAGCATGGAAGTCGCAAAATCAGCGTCATTTCTGGCGTGGGTGTACGAAGCTACTATGCCAAACTAGGATACCACCTTGATGGAGTATATATGAGCAAGATGCTCGATCCTCTCGATGATACCGAGGATTCCGACTAGATCATTGACAGGGGTTGTTTCTGTGCGTTCTTGATGTCTATTATATGCTTTACAGGTGTTGGTGGTCAAAAATGGATCCTGGGGATTTTTAGGCTTGGTTTCGGTGCAAGAAGGCTTACAATGATCGGGTGCATGTTTGCTAAAAAGTTCATATACCAGTTGCCTTTTGTTGAGATTTGATTATTTTCATATTATTGAATGCCAAACATTTATGTACGAAACCCCATCTTCTTCTATTCTTTGCAAATCTAGACATTCGCAGGGATATAAAAATCGGTCGATCCAAACTGTGGATAAGACCAGCTACAAAACTTGTTGTGTATAGGATCAAATATAGAGTCTATCAAATGAAGAATTTATCATTAAAGCCAGGAGACCGCATATAACACCGAGAAAAGAAATCAATTAGAGGAATCTAGAACGTACACAGCAAAATACTTAGGACAGAGGATGACCTTGATCTACTTGCAACAGTTCTTCCCAGTGGGTAGGATATAATCATTGCAGCTTGATCTTCCCCAATCTCCATTCCAAAACAACGCACCGCCTTAGCGATCCAAATGATACCAAATCAATAGCTCATCTTTTCACAGGAACAGATATTTAAAAAAGAAGTAGTGAACAGTCCCATTAAAGCTAGCCAGCCTTATGATATAAACGCAACATTGCTGATAATGAAAAGAATATAAATGAAAATGGACGTGGGTGTTGCGGAGGTTTTTTTCAATTCAACGATATGGCTCCCCGTTGGCTCGATCGCATATGTAGGAAGGCCTGGAAGCCGCAGAAGACGGCAAAGCACTAGATAAAGCTGCGAGTCAGTTATATGATTCTCGGGAGATGGTGTGATAAAAGGAAAGCTCTTCAGATATCAGGTTTCGGAAGCGCGGAGGCAAAGCCCAGTACCGGAGGAGGGGTGAAAACGTACAGCATAGATGACGACGGCGGTGAATATTGAGGCTGCAACAGCTGCTGGGTGTTCTGCATCCTTCTTAGAGCCGGTCATAGAGTGGTGGTTGGCCTGCGGCGAGAGTTTAATGATATGTTAGTCGAGCTGAAGCTGCGATGCGCGCAGGGTGAAAAGGGTCGGAGACAACGCACTTTGAAGAGAGAGCCGATGACGGAGAGGATGATGACTGCAAATATGGAGATGATGCAGCTATAGATTGAGAGAAAGAGTCCATGGTTAGCGGGCGGAGGCAACGATATTCTTGATGGCATAGGCAGCTCTTACCATGTCCATGCGTTCATAGCAGACACGACGGGCTTCATGGTGGCGGGAGAAGCACGATGACAGAGGCAGATACAGACAGTAGCAGGTAGCAGAAGATAGGATCTACAGCTTTTGCTTGGTCGCTGCGATGCAAGCTATGCTGAGGTCGGTGGTTGGAGGTGTTTACTGGGCTGCGAGGTTACTCGATGTTGCGTCAGTGATGGAAGTTTCGTGAGCCACAGCCAAGCGCTGCTCTCTAACTACGCAGCAAGCCATTTCTCTGTGGACACGAAGAACAACCCAACAACTTCTGAGAGCAACAGACGCTCGCTAGGAGACATTCGTCGATATATAAAGCTACTCTGCTATAAACCGGATGACTACAGGTCCTTACAGCTCTCCATTTAGCCAGCGTTTAGTGTGTTCCACTCGATGCACTGCTCGAAAGTGACGCCGGATCCTCCAAAGATATCCAGAGCACTCCCTATCGTGAGATCGACCTTTCCTTTGCTCTTCTCCTTCACCCGTTCAAGGTCTTCTATCCCTCGCCCTCCGCCAGCGTAGGTGACCGGAATAGCGCACCATTCTGCAAGCCTGGACACCAGCTCCTGGTCAATACCCTGTTGTAACCCTTCTACATCCGCGGCATGGATCAGGAACTCAGAACAGTACGGCTCGAGCATGCTGATGGTCTCTAGAGTCCTCGGATAACACTGGTCAGAGCAGGCTTCGTCATACCTCGACTTCGGGGAGGAGGAGGAAGGCTTTTTTATGTCGATCATACAACACGTACCCTGAGTTATCTCCATGTTGGTGACCGTCTGCCATTTGTCCATGGCCACAAACCAGGTATTCCCTCGCTTGCGGCAGCTAAGGTCCAAGACTAGTTTTGACGTGTCACCTCCTATAGCAGCCAGTATAGACTGCAGCCGGTCGATGGAGAATTGAGCGTCTGGGAAGAGATAAGACGTAACCACGACCTAACTATCCGCTTAGATCACCGGCTTCTTTCCAAGGACCGTCTAGCATCCTGAAAGCAAAGGCCATAGCCAACAAGAAAAGGTCCAGGATGCGTTTCATTGCTCACTTTTTCTGCGCCAGCATCCAACCAGTACTGCGCATTCTTGTCTGTAATCCCACCAGCAATGTGTAGACCGTCTGGCCATGCCTTCAGAGCTTCGATAGCGGCGTCATCGTTTCCCGGCCCGAGTTTCACGACATGCCCGTCCGTTAGCCCGTTGTCTCTGTATAGCTTCGCAAAATAGCCAGCGGAGTGGTCGGAGACGAAGTTTGTCTTGAGCTCCCCAGGCTTGGTGCTCAGGGTTCCTCCCACTATCTGCTTGACCTGGCCCGCGTGCAGGTCAATACAAGGGCGAAACCGAGTCATATCGAGGGGAGGGGGGGGGGGGAGGGCGGAGATGTGAAACGGCCTGTCTTAGATGTCTTGTTGCCTCTCCAAACACCCCGCGATGGGTTCTCCGTCTTTATAATTTGCTCGTCCTTGAGATAGTTAGCTAATAATAAACATAAGAATCATATTTGATAATAATCTCTATCGATAGCCCAGGTATTTGTCACGTGATTTACCCAAAAAAGAAAAAACCTGGCGATAAGTTTCTGGATAAGCAAAAAAAACGAGACGTCAAGCCAAAGAGACATAGGACGTTTGATATCTCGTCCGGAGCAGCCACAGAGATTAATAATGCTAGGGAAGAGGAAGAGAGAGGTCACGGTGGCCTCGAGGAAGCAGGCTGCGGCCGTCAAGGACGAGTCTACACTCGATACATCTGCCCAGGATGCACAGGAACGTCTTCGGAAATATTTTGAATCCCGCTTCCAACCTCTGGAATTGCCTGGCTCAAGATCAGGGGCCACCTTGGATGGATCCAGTAATGCTTATAACACGGATGACAGCGACCAGGGCGAGTGGGATGGCATTGAGGAAGAGGACAGTAGTGAAGACGAGGATAGCAACGGGCCAGTGCCAGAGGTGGTGGACTACAGCAAAACACCAAAGGTGCGAACGGAGCTCGTTGACAAAGCTACTGTTAAGAAATTTATGGTGAGTGCGCTACTTTCCTTCCCCCCCCCCCCAATGATGGTCAGAAGCACTGGATTGACCCGTTGGACAGAGCTCAAAACCGCCATCCCTCCTCTCCGACTCTACCAAGCCGGCAACGACGGCGAAGACGAGAAAAGGTGGAGAAGAAGCTACCGATGACCTGACGACAGACGCCGCCAACCTCAAGAATGACCTAGCTCTGCAGCGGCTGCTCAAAGAATCTCATCTCCTTGATTCTGCATCCGACCTCAACCCGACTGGTGTAAACAGGCACAAGGCCCTTGATCTTCGTGCACAAACCGCCGGCGCCAAGACGTCCATTTTCACGCAGAGTAACATGCCAATGTCTCACCGGAAAGGGATATCCGCAAAAGCTACACAAAAAGAAGAGAGACGACGGCGTGAGGCGCAGGAAAACGGGATCATTCTGGAGCGTCCCTCGCTTGCAAAGTCTAAGCCAACTGCCAAAAAGCGAGAGCGCGGTATTGGCGGTCCGTCGGTTGGCAAGTTTGTTGGCGGAACTTTGAAACTCAGTCGTCGGGATGTTATGGCGATTCAAGGCCCGAAATCTAGCAAGAAGGGAGGCAGGGGATCTGGAAAGGGAAAGGGGAAACGCCGCTAGATCCAGAGAGAAACTCGCTCTCTAGCTTCTCTCCATTCTTTGCTCCTTTTTGGCATCCTGCATACAACTACACGGTGCACGGTGAGCATATGGATGGAATTCCCTCCTTGGTCTTCGTATCCTTCAGCAGAGCAAGCAAAGAGGGAGCGAGGAGAACGGCGTGTGCGTTCGGTAAAATAAAGTATATTCTTCTCTCTCTCCAGCTTCTTTGGCTTATCGATGTCTATCAAAACCAGACATGTCAACAAGATGGACGATTTGCAGACCAGGGGCAATGTTTCACACCAAGGCCCGTTGTGGAGGCCACGTTCTGACGCCGCAGGTAAACTTACCCTTCTTCCTTTTATTTTTTTTTTTTTTATTGACGGCCTCTCTCTGCCTTCGATCCATCAATTCCGCTCTCCTCCACTACTAGGGCTGGGCTAACTATCTAGAAGCTATGACCCACACTAAATGCCACCCTTGTTAGGGGTGAAACTGTACCTGAAGCAGACCTCGGGTGCCATCTTGCTCCCAGGATACCTCGAAACGTTAGGCAACCCCATGTATACTGCCAAATGCAGTACAGTGCAGACCTGTGCACTGAGGCCGATAAAGTGAGATCAGATCATCAAATGTGGAATCAGATCAGACTGGAAGCAGTTATTGGAGATCCTGCTAGGACCGGGTATAGAAATTATCCAGTTCCGTATTCGGCGGACGACATGAACGTCATCTCGAGTTTGAACTAGCGTCTCTCGAAGGTGGAGGTGAGAAATGCAACCGTCCAGAATAATCCCCCAGTAACAAGAGCAGATAGTACTCAGAACCGATAGCTCTAACCAACTCCCCGCAACTTCCTGCTCCCCCTGCATAACTTGGTACTGTTATACTCGCCTGTCAGTCAAGCCATTTTCAATCAATCGGTGGAGCTACACCGGTTGTCAGTTCGTTAGTGGCCAAACAGAAGCGCATGTACGACCTGTGACTCCGGCATTCCAACTTCCCCAGCCTAGCGAGAGAGTCCTGGAGAAGACGAGCTCACGCGCACGCATACACAAAAAAGAAAAAAAGGAAGCAAGAAGACGGTCAACAGATGTCAGCCTCATCGAATGCATGTATGTATGATCATAGCTAGATATTTCTTTTCTCACGCCATTCCCGTTTCCGAAAACTCCCCCGATGCAGCCGGCCATGTTCAGTTAGCTGGAAGAGCGATCACTCGTTCATCGAAGCCGACGAAACGGCCCGGGTTCGCCAAGCAGGCATCGCGATCAATATCAGGATGGATCATGAGCGCAGAGACAGCTCGGAAGAGCAGGACCAGAAAGTGTATTATTGGACAGCCCAACATGTCGGTGTACAAAAAGTAAACCGGGCTGGCTGGCTGGTTGGGCGGGAGGAGGAGGTGGCTGGCCAGGCGATGGATGGTGACTTGCAAAAATGCTTAGGTTGAAGCTTGGAAGAGAGATCCTCGTGTTGACAGAGGGGGGAAAACGAGGAGAAGGAGGAGTAAGAGGTTCGTCCGCCATCTGCAGCTAATGAACTAGCTGGCAGTGGTCGATCTGGGGAGGCGATTTGCCTAATCGGTCAACTGTATACGCCAGAATGCCATCCAGAAACAGCAAAGGGCCAGAATCTGAGCAAAGCTACGGTTTGAAGATGTTGCATCATCCTTCGAACTAACGAGTCAGTAAGTTTGCCATCTTAGTGATGGAGAAATACGTTCTATCAAGATTAGAGAACATCCAACTTGTTGTTCAAACATATGTACAGGGTGGATGCTAAGGGGTGGAGGTGGTTTGTCTAGCCCTCAGAACTCCGTACTCATCCTCACAACGAACTACAGGTTGACCATTCAGTAGGCCTCTTTGAACACATGCAATAGTTCGGCAAGAAATTTCACGAACTTCGCAATAGTCCATACTGAGGTGTGGAGAGGGCTGAAGAACACCCGAAGAACAATTCGCTAGTAGGCTGGGCACACGTACGATGACCGTTTGGCCGATCACGAATTTGATCGATAAACTGGGAGCAAGTGCAAGTCCACGTCCATCATTGCCGGTGTTTGGTTAAGGAAAAACGGTCAATACGATTCGCCTCGGGGTTCCTTGCTCGAGCTGTCACCGGCTAGTGCTTCTCTAGTCCCTCCAGTCGCTTACCCTGAAGCCTCTTTGTCCACCTCTGAGCATCTCCGAAAGAACGCTCGGAGTTGGCTGCGTGTTTCAGGATCGCCGGTTCCAGAGCTCCTAACCATGTTTTTTCGACCTGGTTTACGACTTCGATGTGTTATGTCAGACAGACAGCTTCTCAGCCAGCCAGCCAGGCATCCAGTTGCAATAGTAATGGAAGCACGGTGATTAATCAGATGAGATTACTTTAGAGGGGTCGACAGCGGCCCTGCCAACTCTCCAGGGCCAACGGTCTATTACGGTCCATAACGGTCTTCTGTGAGATCCCAGTCGTGTGATGAGTAAATGTGATCTCGAGCATGACATGCTTTCCCCCCTCCCTTTTTTTCTGCTACTCCGGGTTCAGAAGCCACCAGCATGCAGGAATCATGTTTTCAGCAATTGACCTTGGAAGAACGGAGCATGAGCCAAAAGAACTAGTTAGCTCCCCTATGAGCCCCAGAATGGGGAGCAACAGAACAAGATCGAAAAATTTTTCATTCCTTCGATGGAATCATCGCGATCGGCTCTCTCCACCTTGTGGCGTTCCCGAGAACCAGAGCCAGAGTTCTCTCCTCCAAGCCCATAATGCAAGGAGGACCCTGTCAGCAGCGTACGTGGTCAAGAGGGGAAGGGAACAAGAAATGGAGAGGAAGATAGAGGAGAACGATCTGTCCGTCAGCTCACTAGCCTCGCTACCATGACGCCATGGTTGCGTGCCTGGTAGCTCTATCAAAATCATGGAACGCTTCCGCCATGGTCTAGCTCTGTCCCCCCTTTTTCATTCCTGGTTCGGCATCTTTGAGGCTGGAGAACGAAAATGGGATGCAATATGCACCTTCGAACGCCTCTCTCGCCATCGCTAGAGACGATACGGAGTATACTTAAATAAACAACCTTTTTTCCTGCGAGGAGAGCAGGCAGACCGAGCACAAGAACAAGAGGAAAAAGAAATAAGGGGGAGTGAAGCATAAGGTGGTAACCGTTGCCCGATCGAGCCGTAAGCGCTTGGGAAAAAGGATACACATGCATGGATCCACCACTTTGGCATCATATTTTTGAAGACAAGAAGAGGAGGAAAAAGCAAAAACCGTGATATGGCAAAAGAAAGGAAAAGCAAAAAGGACGAGAGAGAGGCAGAACAGAGATGGTAGAATGCCGGCGCCAATAATCTGGTCGTTCTTCACGGCGCCTGAAGATAAGGGAACTACTGTTCTAATTATGGACCGACGGTTTTTTTACGATCTTTCTTTCATGCATATGCGCACATCGTACCAGCGGCGTTCAATGATTGTCTTCGTTCCCCAGGTGCCGGCCTCAGCAGAAGCAGCAGCAAGCAGCAAGCAGCAGAACAATGCTTATATATATGTACTCCGTACGGGAAATGGCCAAATGCAATGGTCCTAAATATAGCCGTGCCAGCAGAGGCATGATGCATCGCAGTGTCCATCTGTATATTTGAATATACTCAGACCTGCAGGTGGATGTGTGTACCTCGCAGCCCAGCCCATCCCTGCCTGGCACATTATATGTCATACGGCCTTGAAACGAGA